AAAATCTTGCAGCTCAAGATTCAGCAAAGTTTCATAATGAGAAGTACAAAACCTAGAGTTAGAAAATTAAAAAGGAGGGAGAAGGTCAGAATTCCAACTAAAATTACTGAAGAACAAATTCATACCTTGAATTGTAATACTGAAGAATTCTAAGCACAAAATATTAGATGATATTTTAATTGCCAATAGAAGATAGGAAAAAATATGCAGAGTTACTGCAACAAAAAAAATTGGTCAATACAGGGTCGACTCAAGAAATAGCATATAATCCAGAACGAATTATAAGGAAAAAAGACGGTCAAGTTGCACTGAAGGCATTGACAAAAAATCAAGGATCCAGAAATTGATGGAATAGCAATTGAAGTGTCTCAGTAAACAGATGCCTTGGATATACTTAGTAGCCTATGCTGAATTTTTTTTTAATTGCTATTTCAACAAAAGTGTACAGAAAACTTATATTTCCATTCATTCATTGTTACACATTTCCCCCCTACTACCCCACTCCCCCCGCCCCCAGTTAGGTTTTGTCTTTAAAAATATTTTTTCGGGGAGCTCTGGTGGCCTAGTGGCAAAGAGCTGCACTGCAATCCCAGAGGCATGCAGTTCAATTCCACCAGATGCTCTGCTGGAGAAGGAGGGGCAATCTCTTCCTATACTAGTCAGATCTGATTTGAGGGTACACACACAAAAAAGAAAATTTTTTCAAAAAGATTATTTCATTATTACACAATTTCTTCCCTCCTCCCTGACCCTTTGCCCGCTTTGCTATGCGCCTGTTATTCTGGACTATTGTCATTCAAGATCATATGATCTGTTATGCTGGAGATGAAAAAGTGAGGAAAAATGAGGTTGCTTTCATAGTAAAGAAAGTCATTTCTAGACCCATCTTGAAATACAATGCTGTGAGTAATCGAATAATATCCATACACAGATTAGGAAGTCCAGTGAATACCACTATCATTCAAATATATGCAACAAAAATTAGAGCCAAAATAGAGGAAATAGAAGAGTTCTACCAACTTTCACAGTCAGAGATTGATCGAACATACAATCAAGATGCATTAATAATAATGGGTTACTGAAATGCAAACTTTGGGAACAAAAAAGAAGGTAGCTGGAAAACATGGATTTGGTGGCAGAAATGAAGAGATAGAGGAGGGAGAAAACTGTTTAAAAGAGATATATGACTAGGTACTTCTGTCATCACAGGAGTCTAGAGCGAGGGCTACATGGTGGAGGGGACCTGGGGGAGGGTTTGTAAAACAATGAAAGAATACTTTCTTTTACTTTTCCATAATTTTTGACTCATGTACTTATAACTTGTTAGTCAAATTTGTGTCTTCTAGGTTGCAACACCCCCATGATACATCTTCAAGGATATGAACATGTATGGCCAAGCACAATCAATAAGAGTGCATCTAAATTCCAAAATCAATCTCCATAATAGTCTATGTGTTTCCTACTGCCAAAGGGGCCCTTTAGAGTAGTGAGAGAAGATCTTCACCCTGAAACCCACAGCGTCCCTTTTCAGCAGGAAGTAGCTAAGAGAATACACCATCCCCTTTTCCTTATGAATCCGGGTGAAGTCTCTCTCAGGGAGGAGTGATAGGGAATGGCAAAGGACACACTGACAAAGGAGATTAATCAGAACTGACTTTGACAAGCACTGTGGCAATTGGACAATTAAAACAGACATTCGGATGGCGGGGAAGAAGAACAAACTGGGGAGGAGGGTGGAGAGAATGGTGCGGCAATGAAGGAGTGAAAGCCCAAAATCCCTGTGAATGTTCACTGAAACTAATAAAATTTAATGATAATAATAAAAAAAAGAATTTTGCAAAATCAATTATTTTTTCACTGCAAATACATTTTCTAACAAGCACCCATGTTTATTGTTGGATTGTTCACATGCTAAGAAATGTGGCCAACTGACTAGAAGAATGTCATATTTGTGCCTGTTCTCTCTCTCTCTCTCTCTCTCTCACACACACACACACACACACACACGTGCGTGCATGCACAGTGAGAGAGAGACTGAGAGAGAGAGAGAGACTCTAAAAGAATTCTGTTCGAGATTATTAGAAAGTATTTGGAACTGTACAGTAACAGGGAAGTTCCAGAGATTCTGAAGAGGCCATGGGAATAAGGGATATCATTGCTGATGTCAGATCAATGCCAGAACAGTGTTTTACTGACTATTCAAAGACATTTGACAGTGTAGATCATAATAAATTATGTATAACATTGAGAAGAATATGAAATCCAGAACAATTAATAATGCTTCTGAAAAACCTACACATAAACCAAAAAGCTATCAGAACAAGGCAACTCTGTAAGTTTTCAGTCAGGAAAAATATACAGCAGTGTTTTATCATTTCCCCATACCTATTCAATCTGTATACTAAGCAAATAATTCAAGAACTGGACTGCATGAAGAAGAATGTGACATCAGGATTGGAAGAAGATTTATTAACAATTTAAGTATGCAGATGACACAATTATACTTGTGGAAAGTTAAGAATAAGTTTTTTTTTCTCAAATCTGTAAATATAGATTTCATCATCAATTATATCTCACTATCAAGAATACTTGGAAACTCGGGTGGCATCCACTTCCTAAATGACATGCCCCTGGAAACTCTATGAAATTGCTAAATGATGATAGTTATAAGAAAGGCTTCAGGCCTTTTATTCATAGAGTTACTATGAGTTGTGCTCGACTGGACAGCAATCAACAACAACAACAAATCAAGAATACATAAACCTCACCACTGGGCCAATAGACAACATTAAGAATGATGTGCAGAAAGATTGAAATGCTCTAATATTCAAGAAATAAAAATTCATGTTGCACTTTGAAAATCTGCTAAAAAGTGCTTCTTTAAAGTGCTGAAAAGCAAGGATATCAGCTTAAAGACTACAGTGTCCCTGAGCCAAGATCTGGCATTTTTAATTATTTCCTATGCATCTGAAAATAGGACAATGACAATGACAGAGAATTAATGCTTTTGAATTGTGGTGGTATTAAAGAGAATTCAATAATCTATGGACTTAAATAAGGACAAACAATCTTTTTGAAATAAGTATAGTCCGGGTGCTCGTTGGAGGCAAAAAATAGTGAACCTTAGTCTCACATACTTTGAGCATATTTTAGGAGGAGTCAGTCCTTGGAGAGAGACATCATGCTAAGAAAGGTAGAGAGTCAAGAAAATAGAATAAGACCCTCAACTAGATGGTTAATTGTGACAAAGAGTGGAGCATGGCACGGATTGTGAGAATGGTGCAGGGCAGAGCAAGGTGTTTATCTGCTATTCATAATGTTATGAGTTATTGACATTTAACAATTAGTGTGTGTGTAAAATATGTGTATATGTATGTGTATGTGTATGTATATGTATATGTATATGTATATGCATATAATGTGTTTGCAGCACACAAACATATACATATGTTGCTGTTAAAGTAATGTGCCACAGTTTGAACACACTCATAGCTGACCCTTCAATGAGTTTTCAAAGGCTGTAAATTACACAGGGGAATTGCTTATCCTCCTTCTTTGGAGCAGTTGGTGAATTTGAACAGCTTGGTTATGGGTTGACAGTAAAATTCCTTATCAACTAGGTCACTTGAGTATTTCTATAAACATTCTTGTTGGTTTCAGGTGCTGTCAAATAAGTATAGTCTATGGAAACCCTATGAACAACATATCTGAACCTAGTTCTATCCTGTGACATCCTCATAATCTCAGACCAGAAAAGAAATATATAATCTCTGATAAGTTTATATAAATATATATATAACCAAAATATATATATAAACACACATATCTGTGTGTGTATGTGTGTGTATTGAATTATTTCCTTTCAAAAGTATTTTACTGTAAATATTAATAGGATAATTCTTGTATCAGTAATATGTTATAGCTTTAAATTGAAAAGAATTCTAATAGACATTTTCACACACATATCAAAATAGTCAATAAACTAAGTACAGAATAATCACATTATTTGTATTTGACAATTTGTTCCATTTTATTTTCCACATTTTTCTTTAATTAGTATTTCCTCCACCTTTTCTTCTGTTTATATCTATACAGAAAATGTTCTTGTTGTTATGTGCCATCAAGTCACCTGTGACTCATAGCGACTCTATGTACTGCATCTCTGAGGCCTGCCTTGTACTGATCTAACCTCACTGATTCTGATACAACTACCCTCATGACCCGATCAAGTGCACCTTAATCTCCAGGCTGACATTGTTACTCTTCAATACTTTTGAAAGCAGACTTTCCCCATGTAATTTACATTTTAATATCCTGGCTGCTGATACCAAGAGTATTGATTGTGAAGCCAAGCAAACTAAAGCTGTTAAAAATCTCAATCTCTTCCTCACCTATCATGATGTGCCAGTCGGCCTAATTTTGCCAATATTGCCTCAGTTATTGTATCAATCCATTTCATCCAAGGTCTTCCTCTCTTATGCTGTCCTTTCACCCTTTTGAGCATGACGTCCTTCTCCAAGGATCAGTTTCTCTTGACCATGTGCCCAAAGTAAGTGAGGCGGAGCTTTAAAATCCTAGCCTCAAAGGAAAGACTTGGTTTCACTCTCTCCAAGATAGATGTATTTGTTTTCTTGGCAGTAGATTGGATGTTCAAGACTCCTCTCTAGCACCACAACTTAAGGGTATTGATTGTTCTTCGGTCATCCTTAGTCATTGTCCAGCTTTCTGATGCATAGCAAGTAAGTGCGAAGATCATGGCCTGGATCAGGCACACCTTAGTCTCTGGACAGAAATCGTTGCTTTACAGCACTCTGGAGATGTCCTTGACAGCAGATTTTCCCAGCGCAATTCATCTTTTGATTCAGTGACTGTTAGTGCAAAGAGCGTATACAAATAAAAATGATGAACTTAAAAATGGTACAATTTTGTTTAATAAAACTAAGCTTGTGATCAAATTATCAGGAGTACCTTTTAAAAAATGTTTATTTTTTCCTTTTTGTTCAAATAAGGATTAAAATAAAAGGCACAATCGCAGAGTGCGGAGTTGAGGAGCCCTGGGCGGAGATCTTGTCTGTCTGGAACTCGGTGGCCACGGTTACCTGCCCTCCAGAGCTTCCCCCAGGACGAGGTAGGGCCGGCGGGCGGGAAGCTGGTCCAGGCACCGGGCTCGATCTTCCGGGAGTCAAAGCTGGCGCCTTGGGTGCCGTTTTGGTTTGCGGTGGAAAACTACAATAATTTGAAAAAAAAAAAAAAATTAACGGCGGTGCAAATAAATGTGATTAAAACCTGAAAAAACATGCACATTTGGTTGATTGGTCTCTTAGTCTCTTCAAGAACTTTCGCTCTCCAAATACTGTTAAACTATCCATTCATTGATGATTTTGAGAAATTTTGTTTATAGAATCTTCAGTTTTGATGATCTCATAATCATTAAAATAACCCAACAGCATGCTCTCCTATGGCTCATATGCCTTTCTATAAGGTAGGTAGGTTATAGTAGAGGTGGTTAATTTACAAGTTTAATTATTTTTGCAATAATAGAATACAGGTGATGCTTTGTACTTTCTCTTGCATCATATCAAAGGATATATGACTAGTGGTTTTAGGTTTTCTGATTCTAACATTTGTCAATAAACTTTGAGGATGTTGGTATAAACTACTATAAATTCCTCATATTTTTCTTTGGTCTACTAGATGGTAGTTGAAGCTCAACATAAAGAAAATAAAGAGTTTCACCACTAGGCTGATTGGCAGCATCATGATAGATGATGAAGAAATTGAGATTGCAAACAGCTTTAGTTTGCTTGGCTCCATAATCAACACACTTGGTACCAGCAGCCAGGAATTTAAAATATTATTTCATTCAGAAAATCTGTTGTCAGAGACCTCTCCAAAGTACTGAAGAGTAATGATGTCAGTCTGGAGACTAAGGCACATGTGATTCAGGTCATGGTCTTTGTAATTACTTGTTATGCATCATGAAGCTGGACAATGACTAGGGATGATAGAAGAATTGTTGCCTTTTACCTATAGTGCTGGAGAAGAGTTGAATATACCAGGAAGTTTCAGGAGAACCAACAGGTAGATCCTGAAGAAGGTGAAACCGGTTGCTTCTTGGAGGCAAAAATTCTGAAGCTCCATTTGATGTATTTGGGCCATATTGCAAGGAGGGAGCAGTCCTTGGAGAGGGACATCATGCTTGGAAGGTTGGAGGGACAACGCAAGAGAGAAAGACCCTGACTGAAATGGATTGAGTCAATGACTAGGGTAATGACGGTAAGTGTGTCAGAGACAATAAGGTTGGCTCAGAATAGAGCAAGGTTCAATGTTGCTGTACATAAGGTCATAATGGGTCACAGGTGACTTGACTGCACATAACAACAACAATTATCATATTTCTCGTCCTATGAAAGTATGACCAAAGTATCTTAGACAAAATATTACCATATTTGCCTCTAAGTAGCTCTCTGCACTCCCTTAATGACAGCTTTAATGTAACAATGACTTATTTATTACAAAAGATCAGTCTTTAAATTGAAGAAAATTAAGTAAACTCTTTAAAACTCTTTAGATTGAAGAAAATTAAGTAAATTCATAGTGGTCATAGGATGAAGCCATAGACCATACTTTTAATTTACACACATTCACTAGTTAAAAAGAGAAAGTTCAGTTAAATAATTTTGGAGAATTTTTTTTTATAGCAATATGTTTATAACTTTGACTTTCTTGCCTTCTGTTGATTCTAGCCAATGGGCCACACTAATATGGGATCAGAAACAAAGTGAGAGAGGTCAGAGTATTTACCTTTGTTCTTCATTCCTTTGCTGTTGATATTTCTTTCAGGTGCTGGTCTGCTAAATATGGTTTCTGTCAAGCTGCTTCTCACAGCTCTAAACCCTCTTTGAATGTCATCAACATATTTTTTCCTTTATTTTCACTAGTCTTAATTTTATTCTGGCATTGTTAGTTTCTATTGTTGTTGTTATATGCCAGTGAGTAGCTTATGACTCGTAGTGACCCTGTGTACAACAGCTCTGAACCCCGCTTTCCTGTACCAATCTTATTGTCTCTTACATTCAAGGGTCTTCCTCTTTTATGCTGTCCCTCCACCCTCCCAAACATGATGTCCCTCTCCAAGTACTGGTCACTCCTTCCAACATGCCCAAAGTATGTCAGAAGAACCTTCAGATCCTTGCTGCCAAGGAGCAACCTGGTTTCACCCTCTCTAGGACCAAACTGTTTGTTCTCCTTGCAGTCCATAGTATAATTCAATAGTTACAGGGTGTTTAAATAAGTATAAGCCTACTTTACATCTTCTTGTTGATAGTAGATTCCACTGAGCAGTTTCCTACTTTTATCAACCCTACATACACCAGAAGGGGTTCAGATCCTGTCCTGTCAGATTTTGCAATTTCCTTACAACCTCTGTATGTTTTTCATTGCTTACATCTCTGCAATAAGTGTAGAGCCAGAAAAGAGTATATAAAAGAGTATATTTTAATATGGCTGAACAAGATAACTGTCTCAATAAAATCCATAAAATATATATCAACTTCTTTGAAAGTATGTCGGATTTTATTCTTATTAAAGTGTGTATTATAACACTTCTGAGAATAATAAATTAGCTCAAAGGATAATTCAGACCACTTGATTAAAGACAATGGTATTTGATGCAGAATATAATTCAGTTAAGGAATATGTGAGTTCTTCCTGATTTAGGAAGAATACAATTACCTTCACTAATGTACAAGCATAGTTTAATTCTGCCATAGTAACATTATGTTGTAAATATATTGTTGATCTTGTCAACTAGTCTTCATAAAGTCACACGTTGTGGGTGATACTTAGCTGACGACCACACCAAATGATTATATCAAGACTCAGTTTAATTTCTAGCATGCTATGTTACTGTGCTAGACTGTCCTGATAGATGTTTTTACAGCCGGAAAATCACCATGTGTTTTGGTTATCGAGTATTAAAAGATCATATAGAACTGAAGTATGCATCTCTGATTATTTAAATTTATTTGAATTACTGATGTGCAGTGTTACAAGTTTGGAAAATCATAAGTCACAGCAAGGTCATAGGTTTACTTAATTTAAATAGTGGCCTTTTGATATGGGCTGCTGAGGGTAGCAAAATGGAAGTGCTCTCTGCTTAATTACCATCTATGTGGTGTTATGGCTAATAACATTACATGCACCCTTACACCTCATGAGATTTAATCCTCTTCTCAGATGGCGTTTTTATGTTTGAATTACTTTGACTACTTCAACCAGATTGCAAAAGCCTGGGGCAGAGACCAAGTTATCTTCTAAGTCAATACAGAGCACAGCCTATTGTCACTGTATTACAAATGATTCAAGAGTACAACTTTGTAGAGCTTCTTGCTTTATCGACATTAGCTAAATAATGAAAGCAATACCGAAGGGACTAAAATAGATACTTGCTATGATGTTCTTAGTTTCTCTTGACTGAAACCATTACAAATGTTTTCCCTTTACTCTGTGTGTGTGTTTTGACTGAGTGTTTAGGGTACAGCACAGTTTTCTTTCACAGTACTGTCTGCTTCACGCTGTTATTTTTTCCTCCTTGTTTTAGGGAGTGAAGCTTTTGGCTCACAAGTTCTCAGTCTTCCTATTCAACAGCTGTCCCTCTTCTTTAACACCCGCTAGAGAACGGAGCTTGAAGGGAAATATTTTATCTTAATAAATGGATAAATCTGTCTGAGACATGGAGATATTCCCCATACACAAGCCACAATCTAGAAATGAATGGGTTATTGTAATTTGCAATTGTCCTTGAAAATTAATAGCATGCAATTAATAATATACTAATTCATTTTATTCTCAGTTCCATATAGTATTGGTTTGAGTTTTCTGCTAGATTTTCCCTTTTGGAAATGATTAAAAATAAATTCTTACTGTTGAGAACTTTCAAATAAGAGGTAATTTGATATATTGGGTCAAATCAGGGCTAAAGAACAGAGATGAACTTTATTTATATATTTATTGTGCAAATTGAGGCATTTCACTTAAATGTGATGGGCACTGCCCACTGGAAAATGGAGCTAATTTGGCCTTGTTTGTAGGTGTTCATTTAAGAATTTTCCTCCACACAAGACTGACAAAGCATATAATTCTAGGAGACAGAAATTGCTAACAAGTCTACTTTACTTGACTGATTTGTAAACAAACGTAAACTATATGGGATGCTCTGTCACTGTAGATGTTAGGAATGTATGTCTCTGCTTTGGGGTTATTTGTTTCAAATGGGAGTTGCATGTTGTTCAAAACAAAACCGCACATTTCTGCTTAAAATCATTATCCTGTTGTTGTTGTTAAGTGCTGTTGAGTGGTAGGTTGTATGAAGGAAAGTCCTCAACACTTATGTGACTTTCATCCTCTCTCCAGGTTCATAGGGTTTCTGGAAGCGAACTATTATGGAAGTAGATTCTACTCCTGCTTCCAAAAATCATGATAAGTAAGTAAATATTTACATTTATAAATGGATGATGTTTACAAAATGGTCTGGTGTCTGGCAGTTCTGTGTTTGTTATTAAATGCACAGAATTCCTCTTAAAATTTTTGGCTTTCAGATCACAACTCATCAATATTTTCAGTCTCCCTTATTCAGAAGAATATATCTTTCTTCTTAATGTTAACTGCTGTTAATTTGACTCCCCACACTTGGTGAGTTTGCACACTATGCCTTACATAGGGTTTTCATTGAATGATATTTTTTGAAAGTAGATCACTAGTAGGGAAATACTTAAAATATATAAGGACAAATAAAACATTCTTACTCGTCAACAAAACAAACACCAACTATAAATACATGGAACTGAGAGTTATCGCATTACTTAAGCTAGTGGTCAAATACTAAATGTAAGATACTGCAACTATCCTACCTGTATAATTTGGCATTTATGAGCTTATTATTCCATTGTCATTATCTCTCATATACTTCAGTGCGTTTCTGTAGGTCTCCTGTCTACCCATGTCATTAGGGGTCTTCCCCTCTTTTGCTGAACTGCCATCTTTCCAAACATAAGACCAAGATTCAAATCTGTTATTTATAGTGTTGCTGTAAGTTGTACTTGATGTAATTTTAAGACAGCCTTCTAAAACTGGCAGAGTATAGCATGGTAAGACTAAAGTACTTACTTTGGAGATGTGATCCAACTTTGAATCAATTGCCAGTATATTGTCCTACATTTATTATAGCTACTGTACATGGATTAAGGAACAGAGGAGGCAGTTATATATTGGTTTTTGGTGTAATGTGCTTTCTAATTTGAATCAACTCATAACAGAAGCTCCAGTGGCTTGTCAGTAGCTATAAATAGCACAGAAGGAGATCTTGCATCTCTCTCCTGAGAAGCAGATGATGATTTCAAACTGCTTGTATTTGGGTTGTTAGTACATCGTCCTACTCATTAGGATACCAGAGCTCTCCTATTACTTAGATATCCTAGTTTGTAGTGCACTTTAGAGCATTTCTACCAGGGAACATTGTTCCACTGAATAGCTGTTGGGTGATCATTTGTGGGTTTCTAGAAGTTTGCTTTTGTTAAGTGTCATCAAGTTGAGTACAACTCTTAGTGACCCTATGAAAAAAAAGCTGAACCCTGCTCTATCCTGTGCCGTCCTCACAGTTCCTGACACACAAGAGCCCATTCCAGCAGTCACCATATCAATCCACCTGGTTCTTACTCTCCTTTGCTGACCATCCACACTTCCCAGCTTCTTGTCCTTCTCCAAGGAATAACAGCCCCCAGCAACATATCCAAAGAATGTGAGGCAAAGCCTCATGATTCTTGCCTCCAACGAGCACTATGGCTGCACCCTCTCCAAGACATATCTTTTCATTCTCTTGGCCATTCAAGGGATGTTTAATCCTCTTCTCCAACGCCACAGCTCAAAAGAATGAATTATTTTTCGGTCATCCTTATTCATTGTCCAGGTCTCGGGTGCATAGCTAGTAATTGGGAAGATTAAGGCCTGAATCAGACACTCCTTACTCTTCAAATTGACATCACTACTTCTCAATAATTTGGGAAGGACCCTAACTGCAGATTTTTCTAGTGCAATGTGTCTTCTTCTTTCCTGACTGCTAGTACCAAGGGTGTTAATTGTGGATCCAAGCAGTTGACAGTTTCAATCTCCTCTCCATCCACCATGATGCTGCTTAGTGGTACTGTGGTAAGAATCTTTGTTTTCTAGAATGAAGATTGTAGAAGGGTACGTGTGCTTTATTGACCATGTAAAAGCTTTTAACTCTGTGAATCATAAGTTATAGATAATATTGAGAATATTGGGAATTCTAGATCACATAATTGTTCTATTTCAAATTTGTGCAAGAAGTTGTGCAAACATGTACAAGAAACAGTTGTTTGAATGGAATAAGGGACACTATATAATTTAAAATCACAAAAGTTGTATAACAGAGTTATATTCTTTTCAACACCTATTGGATCTATTTTCTTCTTTTCTCTTTTCAGTTTATTGCATGAAAGTGTTACACTAGTCCAAGTTAAAAGTGGACTAGAAATGTTTACATTATATAAGCTGTGAAGTTTTAAACTTGTGACAAGGGACAGAAGGGAAATTTTCTACTCATTGCAAGGAAACCCTCAGTTAAGCTTCAGTGAGCCACAAGCACTTTAAACCCATGAACCTTGAGCTGGTCGTCCTTAGCCAGTCCAATCTCCACAATGAACTGGCATATGTTCTTGCACTGGTAACCCTGTAGCTGAATTACTTCTCTGTATTCTGGATGCTCAATGACAGTACCATTGCAGGCAAACTTCTTCTTAAACGCCTTCACTCGTTTCTCTTTATCGTAATCATCAGCAATCCTTTGGACAGTTGTAAGGGTCTTCCTGCCATTTCTCTGCTGAATTCTTATATAGATATAATCATCAGTCCCAGCAGGAAGCAGGTCATCACCCTTACTTGCATCAACAAAGGGGTGAAAAGAGTGGAGATTCTGGGTAGCGGATATACAATACTATTCCTCGGTGGAAACGGCCTATGGAAGGTGGTGGTGGGAGAAGGCGGGCAGTGGGGACTGAGTGTCGGGAAGCGAGGAGGCTCGAGGAGGAGGCAGCTGAGTCCTCAGCAGTGGCTCAGTGATTTAGGCCTGGATCTATTTCCTAAGCAAATAATTCAAGGGGTAACACTATATGAGGAAGAATGTGGCATCAGAATTTAAGATAGACATCAATAGTCTTATGTTATGAATATGGCATAATCTTATTTCTGGGAAACATAGACCTACAACACTTACTGAAGATCATCTAGGAAGACAACTTTCAATTTGGCACACACTTCACCATCAAGAAAATCAGAATCTTTACCACTGCACCAATAGAGAACGTCATGATATATGGAGAAAATACTGAAGTTCTCAAGGATTTAAGTTTACTTGGGTCCACAGCAAGCACAAAACAATTATGAAAACAAAGAAAGAGTTGCACTGCTCAAATCTATTGTCATAGACCTCTTTAAAATCCTAAAGAGCAAGAGTATCTGGTTAAAGTCTTAGATGTACTTTACACAGTTTATAGTTGTTTAAACTGTTTTATATTTATGTGAGAGTTGGACAATAAGGCTTGCACCCAGAGCAATGGAGCAGTAGTGGCAGAGTGGGAGCAGGGCAGCTGGAATTTGAGTGAGGTACTTTGTGAGGAACACTGATGTTTGGCTGGTCCATGGGGGACCCCTTTAGATCAAGCAGAAGGGAGTGAGACAGTTGGAGCTTGAGTGAGGTGGCAGACCCAGTTCTCAAAGGGAAAACCAGGATTGTCTGGTTTTCTGTTCAGGTCTCTGCACATGCCTACCCTGTGTGTGTCCCTGTGCTCTGCCTTATGTCTCCCCTTGTCCAGTCAATTATCTATCTTTAGCCCAGAGAAGCTTAGACTGGCCTAGCTACAGCAGTTGTCTGATAGAGGAAGCTGCTTTCACAGGACATTCTCTCCCAAACTGAAGCAAATTTTCCCCTGAGTCAGAAGTTCAGAAAGAAACACAGGCAGGGTAGCTTCCCCACCCTTTTCTGAAGCAGTCACTTCAGATCAAGAACCTACTATCTCCTCAGGCAGAAAAACACTACCACAGCAATGTCACATAAGAAGCAAGCTACCTTATGCCATACACAAAGCAAGATGTCACCCCCACAAAAATAACATATTATGAATGGATTTTCTGAATCCGGAAAGGCTGATGGAAATTTCTGACAGAGAATTTAAAAGAACAATGACTTAATATTTTCACTGGTTGAAATACAAACTTGAAGAATTACAGGACATGGGGTGTAGGGGGTGTGGGGGGCAGATTTTATACCAATGAAGGAAATTTTCTTTTACTTTTCAAAGAGAAGAGTGAACTGGGGGTGGGGGTTGGAGTGGGCAGGGAGAAAAGTGCAACAATGAATGAATGGAAATCCAAAATCTCTGTAAATGTTCATTACAATTAATAATAATAATAATAAATAATAATAAAAGAAAAAATAATTACAGGACACTGTGAGCAAAAACCAGGAGTAGTTTTTAAAAATAACAACAAAAAACACAATCCAAAACAATGCAGAGAAACCAGGTGAGGTATACAAGAAACCAAAATCTAAAATATAAGGACCAATATTTCAGATGCTATCAGCATGATGGAGGGACACATGAACAGAGTTGAAGAAATGGAACACAGAATGAGTGAAAGAGAAGATAGAATTGTCACCATTGTTATGCTAGAACAAAAAGTAGAATAAAAAAGGAAGGAGAAAGAAGAAAACCTAAGAATAATGTGGGACACCATCAAGATAAATAACATGCATATGATCCAAATCTCAGAGCAGGATAAAGCAAGTTAAGGCACCAAAAAAGTTGTGGAAAAATTACTAAAAGAAAACTTTCCAGGCAAAATGAAGAATGAGAAAATATATATTCAAGAAACTGAGTGAACACAAGTAGAATAGTCCCCAAAAGAAATATATCAAGGCATTTCATAGTCAAATTTGCCAGAACCAAAAATAAGGAGAAAATTCTGAAGTGGCTAGGGAGAAACAAAGAGTAACTATAAGTGAGAGCAAATAAGATTAACTGCCAATTTCTCAACAGAAACCATGCGAGCAAGAAGACAGTGGAATGACATATATCAAACACTCAAAAAACACAACAGTCAAGCAAGAATATTGTACCCAGAAAATTGTGTATCAGATATTAAGGAGAGGTCAAGATATACTCAGAAAAAACCCAAAAAAAACAAACCCACAAAAAAACCCCACACAAAACAAAACAAAAACAACAACCCAGAATGTAAGGGAGTTTGTAAAAATAAGATCAGTGTTGCAGGAAACACTGAGAGACATCCTTCTGAGAGGTGCTACAGGAAGTAGGATGTACCAAAATAATTAGCAACAATACCAAAAAGAACTCAACAAAATGTCAATAAAACTTTGCCTTTCAATACTCACATTAATGTGAATTTTTTAAATGCAGCACTGAAGAGAAAAAGAGTAGCAGATTAGATAAAAATCCAAAATCCATCAATATGCTGTCTACAAGAGACACACCTAAAACGTGAAGATAAATAAAGAAATAAAAGGATGAGAAAAATATATCAAGCAAATAGCAAGCAGAGTAGAGCAGGTGTAGTGATATTAATCTATTATTTTAAAAAATTTCAATGTAAAAACATCACAAAGGGCAAGGAAATTCACTACAATGGAAAACTATGCTGCATTGAAAAACAAGGAACTCATGAAATATTATACAAAATGGGTGACCCTGGAGGACATTATTCTCAGGAAATATATCAGTCACAAAAGGACAAATACTGCATAATGCCACTGTTATAAAATAGGACTGACATTGGAGTTGGGGGAAAACTAAGAAGAGAGGTGATTAATGACGTACACTGCATTGAAACAGATGAGGGAGAGAACTGTTTAAAAGGAGTATATAATTAGGTATTATTTGCATGATAAGAGTCTAGAATAAGAGCTGCATAGTAAAGTGGACTGAGGTGGGGGTTGGGGAGAGGGTGTTGTAAAACAAGATAGATTTTTTTTTCTTTTTTCAAAGAGATAAGTGAACTGGAGGGGAGCAGTGGAGAGGGAGTAATATGTGCAACAATGAATGAATGGGAAAAAATAAAGTATATAAAAAAGAAAGTTGGGCAATGAATAAGGAAGAAGACTGCATAAGAATTGGTGCCTTTGAATTGTGGTGTGGCTAATAAGACTATGGAATATACCAAAAGGACAAATAAATCTATCTTGGAGATACTATAACCAGGGTGTTCTTTTGAGGAAAAGATAGTGGTGAAACTTTCTCTTAAATACTTTGATCACTTGCAAAAGTTGAAATTCAACAATAGAGAAGAAATCTGCCAAGGTAATGAAACATCACAAGACTGTAATGATGGGAGTTAACATGGTAAATGTGAGGATGGTTAACAATAGGTTTCAATCTATTGTTCATAGAGTGGCTATGACTCATAGCCAACTCAACAGCACATAATAACAACGATGACAATAGCACAGTTTTTGTTT